CGGGGATGGGGTTGCCGTGGGGACTAGTAGGAGACCGGGTGTCTCCGCAAGCCCGTCCCGAACCCCACAACCCCGGGCCTCCTCCTGAGGGCTGGCGGCGGGTTGTGGGAACCAGCTTGTCCTTTTCACAGCTGACCGCAACCTGTGGAACCTGAAGCCGTTCACCACGCGGGATTTCTCCATCCGGTCCCTGGCCGACCGGCTGGGCGACCTGAGCTATCTCATCTACGTGTTTCCCGACCGGCCCAAGGATGAGGTCTTCGCCAAGTACTACACGCCCGTGCTCGGTGCGTCCTGCCTGGCCCTCCCCAGCCCTCCTCGGCCCAAGGACTCACTCTCAGGCTAGGCAGTGGGGACTCCCCAAGAGCCCTATGGGCTTCGGTCACGGGATGGTGCAAAGCAGGTGGAGAGGATTTCAGGGCTGGTAAGCGAGGAGAGGGAAAGTGAAACCACGGAGCCTGCTTTCTTCTCTGCCAAGGGAAAAGCCGGTAGACTCTCACTTCTGCCCTTGGGAGAGGAGGCTGCAGTGCTGGGGAGGAGCCAGGATGAGTCACACCCACAGATAACGCACTTCTTCATCCACCGGCCCAGCTCCCCGCCCTTACTCCTGCTCCCAGGCGCAGTGCAGGAGCACAGCGGACAGGTTTTTCCTCTTCAACTTGTCCCCAACCCACTGGTTGCGTTGGCTCCTTGGCGTTGATTCTGTTTCCTCGGCAGTGGTAGGGGTGGGGAGAGAGAAAGCAAAGGGCCAGAAAAGGAAGCCGGAGCAGGGATGAGCCTGAAGCCAGGCTCTGGGTAGCCCTCTGGCGGGTCCGTCAGCAGGTGTTCATTTGGGGTCCGTGGGAAATCCCATCCTGGCTGAGCCCCCGGCAACTGGGATAAGAGGCAGGCTCCATGGGGTGTTTCCACCCTCCGACAAGCTCCCAGAAACTTTGGTTCTCATCACAGTTCCCCCCTCGGCAGCTAAAGCCGTGGACGGATACGTGAAGCCACAGATCAAGCAAGTGGTCCCTGAGTAAGTGTCTGGGGCCCAGCTCTGGTCTCCTGCTGCCTCTGTTCCCCCGCCCCTGCCCCCCCACCCCTGCTGTTCTCACCCCTCACCACCACCCCCTCCCGTCCAAGGGCCCAGCATTCCATTCTCCCTAAAACCTGGCTCAGCCCTGGGAGGGAACCGGGCTTGGTCGGTCACCATGGGCCAGTGCCCAGGGCCCCCTCCTGCACTTTGTCCTCTGCACCTGAGAGAGACAGAAAGATGCCCCTGAGCCCCTCCCCTGTCAGCGCTGCCCTGAGGCCGCTGAGGCCCTGCTCTGCTTCCTCCTCCAGGTTTGTGACGTCTGCAGACTCTGCTGGGGGCAATGCCACCTACATAGAACAGGCCCCCTCCCCGGCTGTGGGTCCCCAGGCTCATTACAACATGTACCCACAGAAGTAGGTTGTGTTCTTACAGGGCTTCGTGGGGGGCTGGGACTGGGCACTTGGCCTTGGGCTGGACCCCTGGAGGGCTGTGGGCCAAGGAATCCAGAGCTCCTCCAGGTCTGAGACCACCCAGCCCAGGCCAAGCTCTGGCATGTGCCTGCCAGGTGCAGGGAGGGTGAGATCAACCAGTAAAAAGCACAGTGCATTTTGGGACTTAACACACAGCAGGGTCCTTGCTGTGGTGCTGACTAGCTGTGTGACCTTGAGAAAATTACTGAGCCTCTCTGGCGCTGTTTTCTCATCTGTAAAATGGAAGCAAGAATACCTGCCTTGGGGGATTGGGGTCAGGAATAACGAGAGTGTGTGTGTAAAGCATTTAGCACAGGTGAGGCTGCTGTAGGGATTTCACACAAGACAGCTATGAATGGGGTGGTCGTTCTTAGGAGCCGGGGGAACAGGGTATCCTTGCCCCTCTCTGGGGTTCCCATGGTAGAGAAGTAATTCTCTTCTGAGTTGTGGATGGTCTGGGCTGGTTGTCTGTTTGCCTGGGAGGCTCAAGCTGTAGTGGGATCCCCACAGGCTTGGGGGGTCGCCAGCCAGGAGGCCCTGAGCAAGATTCCGGACATGGTCAAACCTCATTTCCTCCTCTGAAAAGCTGAGTAAATGCCTACCTTACAGGTGGCTGGAAGGATTGGAGTAACGTGGTTACAAGGCCCAGGTCCCCGTAGGTGCTCAGTGGATGGTGCCTAGGATTTAATGGAATAGCGCTGCAGGTGGGCAGAGCTCACTGGGTCAGCCACCTCCTTTGACAGCTGAGGACAGGGAGAGGAAAATGAATTCCCCTCTATCACTCAGTGAGGCAGAGAGAGATGAGACTGGCTGCCTCCCAAAGAGCCAGTGACTACATCTTGGGGTGCAGGGGTCTAGCCAGAGCTGGTCTGAGTGGGGAGCAGACTGGGGACTGCCCCCGAGAGCTTGAGGCAGGAGACCAGCCAGCTCCCTCTGACGTCCCCCTCTCTCCACCAGTCCTGACCCCGTCCTTGAGCAGGATGTAGAATTTGACCTGGACGAGACCATGGATGTAGCCCGGCACGTGGAGGAACTCCTACGCCGCCCGATTGACAGTCTGGACCCCCGCCTGTCCCCCCCTACCGGGCTCTTCAGCTCTACCAGAGGCTCACTCTCCTGATGTGTGAACCCCACACTTCTTGGAAACTACCCGTGCAAAGGGTTCATATTGTGATTTTCGTGTTGCTGTGCATATTGGTGCCCCTGCAGGGCACCGTGTATATTTGTGTGCGAGGTGTGCCACCTCGCCTTCGCAGTCCTAGGTGTGTGGCTGCTGCCCAGGCAGCCGCCGTTTTCTCCAGATCAAGGTATTTCAGGAGAGCCCCCGGGCCCATCTCTGTGGTGGGAGAGACTGAGCTGCTTCCGTCGCGCCAGGTACTCAGTGCAGGAAGCCGCCTCCTGCTGGGGCCTCCATCTGCTCAGCAGCTATTTGAATGAAACTGTTCGAGGAGGGGAATAGAGACAGGCAGCATCTCTAAGCTTTACTCCTGACCTAGAAGCTTTGCCTCCCAAGTGTGTGTGTGTGCGCGCACGCACATATATGTGCATCTGCTCTCATGCACGCGTGTTGGTCTATTGCTTCTTCCCTTGGAAGGGAGGTTGGGGATGAACATGGACTCCAAGACTTTTTGTGAACTGAGAGCTTATTATCTAGGTTGTGGCCAAGGCCCTCGGCCTAGATGGGTCATTTGAGTCGGGCCCGCCAAAGCCGCTCCGAGTGTGTAAATTCTTGGCCTCCCATCCAGAGCGTGATGCCATTGCCAACGCTTCCCGCTCCTTCGCACCCAACATCCCCACCCCTCCATCTGGCCCCCGCCTCCTTTCCTTGCCTCTGTTGCTTATAGGAGAGGTAGGAGAGGGGAAGACAGGTGTAGGACCTGGTGTGAACAGGGGACCCAGGACTTGTAGGGCTGATCCCCTCTGGTCCTGGAAATAACCTGCATGGAGAGACAGCAGCAAATCAGTGGGATCTGGAGTGAGGGGTGAAAGCTGATCTCTGCTTCCAAGCTGCTGGGAGGTGGAACCTGGAAGAGGCCTCATCACAGTTGCGTAACCCGCTGTGGTGGGAGAAGGCCTGGCTCGCAACCTCAACCTCGCTGGCTCCGCCCTCCCAGGCTATCTGGCCTGCAGCCAGGGGCAGCTGACAGTGGGATAGTGGGAGCCCCAGGTTGAAACCTCTCTGAAGGCGCAGGGGGGTGAGAAGAGGGAGTCTTTTGTACTTTGTACATAGGCCACACATTTGTGAAAAGTGTTTTGAAATAAAATATTTTTTTTTTCATAAAACTGCTGGTGTGGCTCCTGGTTGGGGAGCCCTGGGAGCTGGTGGCGTTTCGCTCCTTCCGTCCTACGTGGCTGACGCTGTGCTGTGTAGCTTGAAGCTACAACTCTGCTTCTTTTCTGTGTTTTAAGGGTGCCAACCCCCCTGGAACACTCAGTGCTTCTCACAAGACTAAAGAGCTAAGCCTCGGTCTTGGGAAAGGATGGGGCAGGGATTGCTGGGGGAAGGGACGCGAGGAGCGGGAAGAAGTGTGGCCGCTGCTGTGAGCAATCCTGAAGCTGGCGGCTGAGGGCCAGGGCCACTGTGACTCTCAACCCTTCTGGGGCCAGGGTCACTGGAGAGCCTCCCAACCGGCCCTCTTCCCAGAGACCAGCAGATGGCACCATCCCACTGCCACTGTGTCTCAAATGGCCCGAGACCAGGAGGAGGCTGGTCAGGGCAGAAGGGGACAGTCTCCCCAAGGTCCAGGGGCTGTCACTGGGGCCCCTGGGGGAAGGAGGGAGCAAAGGCCTGCTGACAAGACTTCTTCAGAGCTCAAAGGAGGGAAGGGGCTGGCAGGCGCCCCAGGAGGTGCAGGGGCCCAGAGCAAGGTGCTGGGGGTGGGTGGGAAGGGAAGCAGCCGCCAGCCCCGCCTGAGCAAACTAATCTCGCTTCCATCTCTGCAGGGGAAGGCGGCTCATATCTCACACTCCTGCTCAGATCTGCTCCGTGGGACTCGGCACAGGGGGAGGGGGTGGGAGAGCCGAGGGGGCGCCCGTGTCTGTGAATTATCACCACTGACTGCAGGCTAGAGCAGCAGCCGGTTAGGTGTTTCGTTCACCCCACTGAGTGACTGAAGAGAAAGTGATAATGGAGCAACTGTGGAAGGGGAGGCCTTGGGGGTGGGGTGGGAGATCTCCGTCCCAACCCCCTTAGGTAGCTTATCAGACCCCAGACAGGAGGCCCAGCTTGCAAAGGCCCTGGAGGGAGGAGGGGGGAAGGCCTCCACTCGGACACCTTTGTGTGAAGGAGTATGACCCCTGGCTCTTCCACTGACCCTTACCTGGAAGCTGGTGACTAACATAAGTTGGGGAGGGTTTATCAGTTGCCCCAAAAGTGGGCCTGAGTCAACTCAGCAATGAGAGGCGAAGGTGACAGAGAGCAGGGCCACCACCTCCTCTCCAGACGCAGGCCTGACCTGTGGGTCAGGCCCCCGCAGAACCTCCCCCAGCCAGAAACAGAGCTGCCACTCTATCAGGCAGGTCCTATATATTTTTATTTTTAGAAGTTAAAGTAGATACAGCAATATACAAAAACACACACACAATCATATAAATTTTTACACTATGAAGTATACATTGGAATTTGGTGCAGTGGCCAGGACAACAGCTTAAAACCACTGTATAAGTAGGTTAAGCGATCAATGGGACCCCTCGGCTGGGCTGGGGTCGGGCGGGGGCAGACAGAAGGGAGAGCGCGGGCAGGTCCTGGAGAACTTGGTTCTTTAAGAGAGCGGCTGACCAAGTCTCTAAACCCAGATGCAAATGCTACTCAAAGCCCTGAACTGTACATCTGCTCCAGAGAAGCCGGATCCGAGCTCCAGATCCCTCGGATCTAGATCTCTCAGGTTATGAGTCAAGCTTATTATGAACAAGAGAGTTTCTGGAGAAGGGAGAGCTCTGTGCAACCTGTCAACCGGTTCTAGGCGGGAAGACAGGGATGGCCAAGGGCAACCCCTGTGTGTCTTGGAGAGAAAGTCCTCATCCCCTTAATTCAGAAACTGGCTAACTGGGGTACCAACAGCATTCCATAGAAACGCCCATCAACTGACTCAGGCGGTTTGGGACCACCCACTATAGCCATGCCTCTGGGCCAGAGGGGCCCCAAGAGCAAAGACCACCTCTTCCGCTCCTGAGTGTCCCGAAGGGCACAGTAAATTCGACCTGTTCTGCCTCAGCTGTGGGGCCTCAGCCGGGAGAGTCACCAGTGTGGGGGGGAGCTGGGAGCACGCTCCCTCACACAGGGACAGACGGAGTTTATCAGCAAGCCTTTGCCCCTGGGTTAACCAAGTGAAGAAGTAATTACAGGTGCTGTGGGCAATCACCAAGAAACTGGGGTGACAGCCACATTCCCTGAGCTCTACCAGACCCTCGGCTGGGGCCCCACTGTCTGAGTCATGTTCAACCTGTCACTCTCTCCCTCTTACTCCAGGAGGTCCTGAGACCAGATTCCTAAAGCAAACAGGACAAGGGACCTTTGGACACTGCAAGGGGCCATGCCATAAGAGAGGTGGGGGCTGGGGGGAAGAGAGTCACCCCATTCTTTATAAGGCACCCACAGAACCACCGGGCTCTGAATAGGAGCGCATGACCAAGAGGGAAGGGAGGAAAGGTTATAAGTACCCCTCTGCCAGCCTTACCTACTAACAGACCAACAATAAAAGGAAAATAAAAACTCTATTTAAAAAGACTAGAAGGTTTAGGTTCTCCTTCAACCTTCCTATTTCAAAACCAAAGGCCACGCCACAGCTCCCGAGGTCCTTTAAGGGCTGGGCCTGAGGCCCGTTTCAGGGTTTGTATGAAGTGTCAGCCTGAAGAAAGCTGAATGCCTGAAGCACCAAGGAGGCTATTAACTGAGTTTTCGTAAATACAGAAAAAGGCTATGCTGATACAGTGTTTTTGCCTTTTAATTATTATCATTACTTTAAATTTAAAAAGAAACCTAGGGGCTCTGAAAGTCCTATCTTTTATTTGGATGTTAGCAAGGTTAAAAGTGCAGTGCCAGGGTATGCAGCTGGAGGCAGCCTGTGGCGTTAGCTTACAGAAAAGGGCAGAGGGATCCGCTGGCACCAGGAGGCACTTGTCGAACAACAACAACAAGCTGCTGAGAAAGGAGGGCAGGGGGACAAAAACACATGTTTCCTTTCCTTTCCTCCATCTTGCCACCCCTTCCACATCCCCTGATCACAGTCTCAGAGAACGCTGTCTTATTTGCATTTAGATAAAAGCATATCACCCACATTCATTCATTTCTCTATTTGAAAACAGTGCCCAGATTGCTCAGATAGCAGAAGTAGGAGATTAAAACAAATCTGGAACCACAGAGTGAGGAGTTCAGATGCTCTGAGGCTTGGCTGTCTAAGGGGTGGAACAGAGGTGCCTCCGTCATCTCTCGCTGCAGCTTCAGTCCTTGGCGCCTCACATGGGGGAGGTAGCGCACTCTGAGGTCAGCTCCATGTCGAATGTGAGGGACTCTGGAGGGACAGGCAGGGAGAGCTGGTCAGTTGCCTGGCGAGGCACACACCGCTAGCCCTTTGGGGGACAGAGGCTCAGGCCACCTCTGCCACCCAGTCTCCTGCCCCTTGTGGCCAAGTCAGGGTTGGATAACCTAGATTCACTCTCCTCCCTATAAGATCTTGCCCTGGAAGGGCACAGCCCCTTCCTACCTTAACTCATTCCCAACTCTATGTGCTTAAAGACGACCCAGGGCTGCCCTGTTGAATGCGGCAGCCTGGAGTCACAGTGGCTAGTCCAAAGCAGAGGGGCTGTGGCTGCAAAACACCCAGCAGATTTCAAAGACTCAGTGCAAACACCTCACTCATTTTTTTTCTTACACGTTGAAACGATAGTATATTGGATTTATTGGGCTTCACAGAAAATATTAAAATTAACCTCACCTGTTTCCTTTCACTGTTTTTAACGTGGCTACTGGAAGAGGTACACTTACGCACGTGGCGTGGTGCATTTCCGCGGAGAGTGCCGCTCTCGAGCCCCTGCTACAATCCCCGTGACCAGCTCTTGGCTCCGCACACGGGCCATCACACAAGGGGGACCAACTGCCCTCCAAATACTCACCAAACTGCCCTCCTGCTGAGGGTTCAGCACCTTCACCATTATTTCCAAACTGCATCAATGAATCTAAAGTGCGGGGGGACATCGGCAGGTCAATGGTATTGCTGCAGGTCGTTCTGTAGGAAATGGGGAGCAGCGGGAGGGGAAAGGGCCGGGTTGACAAGACACAATGGATAAAAATAAAAAATAAAAAAAAAGAACAAAACACACACACACAAGCCATCAAACTCTGGTCTCCAACAGAAAAATAAAAGCTCAAGCTTTTTAAATGCACAAGATCACCGTGAGTACTGAACACAGCCCAGGCCTCCAACCCTCGCAGAGTAACTCTCACCCATGTCCCATTTCCGGGGTAACTGAGGACATTAGAAATGGAGGCAAAATTGGGAGAGGAGGCCACTTACGGTGTCACACAGATGAACTTGGTCTTCAGGTAGGGGGCAGCACCTGGGAAGAGGAAACGGGCCTTACTGAGTGTGCCCCTCTCGGGGCAGGGCAGGGCAGGAGGAAGCGGCTGCCCCAGCTGGGCTGACCTGAAACTCACTCCATCCTTGAGCAGAGACTGTTTTGAACCGCCATCTCCCTTCAGGGCTGCCCTCCCACTCTGTACACGACCTGATGTTCTAGGCCAGTGATGGCGAACCTTTTGAGCTGGGCGTGTCAGCATTTTGAAAAACCCTAACTTAACTCTAGTGCCGGGTCACATATAGAAATTTTTTGATATTTGCAACCATAGTAAAACAAAGACTTATATTTTTGTTATTTATTTTATATATTTAAATGCCATTTAACAAAGAAAAATCAACCCAAAAAATGAGTTCGTGCGTCACCTCTGACACGCGTGTCATAGGTTCGCCATCACTGTTCTAGGCCCTTGCAGCCTGCAAGTTCCATGAAGTTTTCCTTAACTACAGAGACTGTCCCGCCCAAGCCCAGATAAATGCCAGCCTGTGCTCCTGCTTTCCCTGGACTGTGTTAACGTGTAAGTGCCTGGGTGTGGTCTGAGGATAGTGTGCTGGCCGGTCGCGTCACTCGGATGACTTCTCCACATGCAGAAGCAGAGTATGCAGTGTGGGCATCCTGGTCAGGCACCACCGCCCCTCCGTCTCTAAGAGAACGTGAAGCCTCTACTGCTTGTGGTTCCAAAGCTGAGGGTCACACCTGCTCTTCCTATTGGCACTAACCTGCCTCTGTTACATTCTTAGGTGAGGGTATGAGAAACTTTCCAGTTGGATAACTACGTCACAAGAAAAGCAGCCTCTCTACAAAAGGAGGGTGTTTGTGGTGCAGTACAACGGACTCTGGACTGGAAAACAGGAGGCCCAGGTGGATTCAATAACAGAAACCCTGGGGCAAGGCCCTTAATTCATGTGCAAAATAAATGGGAGGGGGACCAGGAAGGTGCCCATCTCTGCCATTTCTAATTCTTTTTCTACAGTTAGACACGTGAGAATTGGAAAAAATGCATTTTAGGTACTAAATACTTACACCAAGAGGTCAAGGAACCTTGGAGACACTGGCATGAAATTTGGGGGGTTCAGGTGAATAGATCACGTAGGAGGCAGAGAGTAGGGTGGGGCGGGTTGCGAGAAGCACATGTATAAAGCTAGGGGCTTATACAGAAACTGAGGGATCAGAAAGTATAATGACAACCTGACAGAAGGCATTGCAAAGGGGTCCTTAGATCCCTGCCACCTAAGTTATTTTTTGGCCAAGAAATAGATTTATACAGTACAGAACCCAAAGAAGCTACTGAGGCAGGGTTCTGGTGTCTTAGAAATCCATTTGGCCCAGATCTGAGGGGAGCTGACACCCCAGATAGAAAAGGATTTCAACTCACCAATGATCTGGGTAGCTGAGCAAAATAGCTTCATCCTGAGATGGAACAGCAGAAGCACAAGAGAGCTAAGACTAAAAGCCAAATTGTGGCTCCATCCAAGGTTGTAAATGTACTTTATCCAATTTGTAAGGTAAGGGATTTGTCATTTCTAAGCGGGGCCTCTCTCCCAAAGCCATAAGGAAATACCGTGTGGGCTTACGGAGAAGTGAGGAGGAGGGAAGAGTCCCCGGAAGGCCCGGGTCCCTGGGAGATAATAACACCTTCGTGACTGGAGTAGAAAGGAAATGGCCACAGACTCATCTCCCTGGAGACGCCCATTTTAATACAAGAGCTGCACACACACCCTGTCCACCCCTACCTGCCCCTGGACCCCATCTCCAGGCTCACACCACACCAAGCCCCTCCCTGCACACCGCTTACACTTGCCTCACCAGGACACAGGCAAAACACTCAAGTAATTAGTTCCTTTTTTGTGATTGGCATCTTGCCCCTGAGGCAACACCAATGTCTCCAAGCAGGACAGGACCTTGCCTCCCTGGCACACAGGAGGGGAGGGTGGTAATGGAGGGCACGGCCTCAGAGTGGGAAGTTGGATCCTGAAAGTATAATTAGTCGAAATACCAGCACACGGGCCTCATTGTCCTCTGCAGAAGGAACAAAGAGCAGTGTGCCGGGGCCTGATAAAGAGATCTCCCAACTGAAGCACAACGTGGAAAGAGAGATAAGCAGCAGACAGGAAGTGAGAGTTAAACTCTTCTAGAATATGAACAAAACTCAAAACCAGAACAAGGGGAAAAGGAAAGTCAATTGTCAAGTAGCTCAAATTTCAGCCCCAAGAAATTCTTCAGAGGGAATTCCTATGAAAAAGTGGGAGGGAAGCTGGTGGGTTTGAGTGTGAGCTATTTGTACAAAAACCATCTTTGCAAAATCAACTGGGTCAGGGCAGCTAACCTCAAAGGATCACTTTAAGTAAAAAGAATGACGGCAAATCATAACTTCCTCATCAGGATCTAGACCAGTGATGGCGAACCTTTTGAGCTCGGCGTGTCAGCATCTTGAAAAACCCTAACTTAACTCTGGTGCCGTGTCACATATAGAAATTTTTTGATATTTGCAACCATAGTAAAACAAAGACTTATATTTTTGATATTTATTTTATATATTTAAATGCCATTTAACAAAGAAAAATCAACCCAAAAAATGAGTTCGCGTGTCACCTCTGACATGCGTGTCATAGGTTCGCCATCACTGATCTAGACAGAGAACCTAGAGAGCTGAAAGCAGCAAACACTGATGGGAACAGACTACAAGGGCTCTCCCCCTCCACGCTGATGACAGCGCTAGAGATTAAGGTTTTTTTTTCATGTAACTTATATGAACACATTAAAAAACATCTTTCCAATAGCTACACATTCTAAACATCAACTCCACACCCCTCCCACCAGTTACCATCTTGCCTTTCAATCACCGCTCTCCCCGACTCTGCTTTCAACCCATGTTCCGATGCTGCTAACACTCATTTCCTGCAGAAAGCCTTTCTTCATCCCACTCGACACTGCTTACATTGTTCAGTGACGAGGAAAGGAAACACGCTAGACTGAAGTCTGGGTCACAAACCTTCTAGCATCTACTATGTGAGAAGCACTCTGCTTGCTGGGCATCCTGTTACTAAAGAATTCTGTCCTTGCTTTCTCTTTGCAGCATTTTGGGAATGTGTGGTGGTGGGTAGGGGTGCTCCCTGGGGGCAGACACTAGTGACTCTGAGTCCTCTCCTCTCGCTGACCCATTAGCCACCCCAATAGCACTCACTACAAAGTCCTTTCCCATAAAGAGGAATAAAGATCACTGGTTCCTTAGGCACCCCCTGCCTGTCCTCCAAGGGTCCTACAAGTCCCCATTTTCCCCCAGAATTAAATGTCTGACACGGAAAATCAACAACTACCTGGGTCAGCCTCAGGATGCTCCTGGCTCTCTGGCCGACAATACTTTCCGAACGCCTCCTCCTTAGGAATGTCGGGGTAGAGATAGACCAGTGGAGACACCAGGATATTGGTAGCGTCCATGATCTTATAGCCCATGATGATTTCCGCGAATGACATGTTGTTCAGCTGCTGCTTAGTATATGGTTCCACCGACTGGATCTGTGTCTTACCTGTCATGGGATATGGGAAAGGAAGATAATGGAACCTATGGCTAGGTAACCTCAGGGAAAACTACCTCGATTATTTTTCCTTGAGAGGGGAGGACTTAGGCCGACCTAGCACTCGAGATGCTGAATCCTGCCCAGTCTCCAGCACGGAGGATATATTCAACAGACGTCTGGAGAGGCTATCCAGCTGGGTCACAGGTAATACATTTGAATAACTACTTGCATAAGATATATTAACAGGGTAGGGAAGAAAGGAGATAAAGGATAAAACTTAAATTGCAAATTTCTAGGCAATTATTAACCCCTGGAGCAAGCAAAACAAAAATGGCAAACTAATCCTTCAGCTGGAAGAATTTTAGAGAAAAGTCGTCAACCAAGTGTGTTTTGCAAGTCTCAGGCGGGGGTGCAAGGCCATCTCTTCCCACTAGGGGGCAGTGAGTGCTTGAAACTAGCAGCAGCCATGGCGGCAGCAATGGAGTGGGAGGGAGCAGCCAAGCTTACCGCTGATGTCCTTCTCCACCCAAGTGAAGGTGACACCTCCTTCTTTGCTGCTTTCACTGAATCTTAGCAGGAAGGTACCTGGGGGCTTGGTGCTCAAGATGGCCCTCTCTCTTTCCTTGCTGATAAAGCCCATTATGTACCTGGAGCCAAAGAGAAACAAGGTTAGGGTTGAAGGGGCCCAGCCACTGGCCTGCTGAGACAGCAGGTGACTTGTTACACCTGTGTACCCTGCCAGACACAAGGGTGTTAACCTACCCTTCATTCCAAAGGGCCAGAATGTACTTTTTCACAAGGTCAATGATATTGTCCAGCCAGACCCAGAAGGAAAAGCCCTTGCCAGCCATGTTTTCCTGGAGAAAAGAATAATGGGAAGGCCAAGTCTACCACCATCCCAGCCTTTTCCTTCCTAGGGGTTCAATGCCACCAACATCCTCAGGCCCATCTACCCTCAGGCAGGTCCTACTGGCCGCTGGACTAAGAGTCTAGGGCCTTCAGGCCCAGCACCCTCCCAAGCGACCTCACTGGTGAGCATCACCTCCCACAACTATTCCCAAGACATGATGGCAAGGAGTTAAGAAGATTGCTTACTTTGCAAAATTTAGCCCATGTGATCTGACACCCTGAATAGTTCACACCGGGTCCTGAAGGAAAAAAGAATAAAGTAATATAATTTCCAGCTTTAAATGAAGATCTTCTTTCTTTATTTCTTTTTTATCTATTGATTTTAGAGAGAGAGAAAGGGAAGAGAGAGAAACATGCGCCCGTTGTCCCACCCATTCATGCATTCATTGGTTGACTCCTATATATGCCTTCACCAGGGATCGAACCCGCAACCTCAGTGTATTGGGACAATGCTCCAACAAACCAACCGAGCCACCCAGCCAGGACAAGATCTAATTCTTAAAACAGAACACATTCATATACACTTGTCCTACAATGGGCCATGAAACCATTGATTTCCATGTATTTGAAGGTTGCCACCATGTGCAGATATGCATATGCTTAAGCAAGCAAGCACCCACTTTTTGACCCCCTCCTCCCTGAGTAGTTGTTTAGTCCAGCAGAGGTGGTAGGTGATGTACCCAGTCCCCCCTGCTCTTCCCTAGCTAGTGGTGGCCCAGGGACACACGGATGAGCGGACGGCTGGGGTTACAGGGCCACATTAGTGGCAGCACAGACGGATATACTTATAGCCCAGGTAGCACACAAAATTTCTACTAAAAATTTTCTACCTACGGTTTATTGAAGAAATGGACAGGGATATCAAGCCTATAGTTCCACCTTCTAACATGCACTGGGAGGTGAGGGAGATGCCACCATGAGAAAAGAAATCTGCCTCCCGCCTCATAAGAAAGATCACCAGGAGGCAAACTTCCTCTGCACCTAACTTCCCCACCAGCAGGAGCACAGGTTTCTGGCCCTGGCACAGAGCCTTGCTCAGTAAACTTTCCTAAATGAAGGCCAGGCTCCTCTTCTGAGGAGCGCAGGAGGGAGAAGAGGTAAAATGCTGACCTAGGAGTTTCTCTGCCAGTGTAGTCAACTGTTCGATGCTCAACCCTCGCTTCGTGGTGGAGGAGAACTGCCAGCTCAGCACCTCGGCCACCTGATCCCAGGTTCCAATTGGGGGCTTTGTGAAGAAGTTCACGTTCTATTGAAAATAACACGTTTGCTCACTTAGATGAGGACAGTGCTTAAGGACCTGCACGAGGTGCCACCCCACCTCTGGGCAGTGAGGAGTCAGAAGGCACTAACCTTGGGGTTGTTGGTCAGCATGTTATACCACAGGATGGATGCCCAAGCATTTGGCATCTGACAGATGTTGGAAATCACCACCACTGGCAGGGAGTGTGTCTGTGGAGAAAGTGGGAGATGAGTTGGTTGCGGGTGGAGGGAAGGGAGGTAGAAGGCCCTCATGGCTTCAAAAATTTCTTCACCAGTATCTCCCGGGGTTTGGAATAGAAGGCCATGCCATAAACCACACCCATAAACTGCACCAGAGTAGGAAGAATGCCGAACACAGGCCACAGGACTCAGCTTGTTGTCGGAACATAACTAAGAACTTGTAAAACCTGACTTGCTCAAAGCTGGACTCACAGTCCACAGATTCTTCAAGAATAGAAGCTGTATCTGCCCATTAAACAGAGAGGTCCCAGAAATCAAAGACTAGGATTCCTGCCTTTGCGGGTATATCTTTAATTTAAAGATCAAGAAAGTTAGGAAAAGAGAATGCAGAGGACATGATTTTCTGTATACTAAAATAATTGACTTTTTAAAGACTTCTTGCCCAAACTTGAGAAATTAGCTATCATCAATTTCTACATACAGATTTGATATCAAGTTTGCATAAAGCTGAGTATACAGGTACCTTCTAAGCATTCAAGCAAGACTATACTCTCAGATGGAATATTAAAGAATTTTTTTAAAAAATAAGCAAAACTGAATGCAGTGCCTTACAAAGAGTCATCATCACTCCACCTTCTGTAGGAAAAATACCATCTAGGAGTCCTTGTCCGGAACCACCCCTGCATGTAGCACTGTCCCCATTCTGGGGCAGAACTCACCTCTAGGTCAATCTTGAGGCCTTGGTGATACACCTCAGTCTCAAAGGTGATCAGGTGCAGCTCCTCGGTCACAATCAGGGAGGCCTACAACATCCAGAAGGACATTCAGTACTAAGCCACAGTGAAGGAGAGGAACATGCCACAGCCACGCTGCACTAAGACGAGTAACCCACCAGGTGGCCACTCACAAACTGTCAGGGACACAGCTCTATGCACATGCTCTCTTCAACACTACGACTCTCCAATGCTAGGACCCTCAACCTGATCTTATACTGTGTTTTATAATATTACAGAGATCCAAGCAGGTCATTTATAAAATGGGTAAGGCATAAAGAATATCAAAACAATGAACGCCTGTTTAAAGAAACACCCAGTTTAAAGAAAAGACCATTACCACTGAGATTCTCTGGGCATCTTTTCCCAACCCCATCCCTGTCCCTCTGTAACTGCTATTTTGTCTTTTGGGTTTATTATTTCCTAGCTTTTCTTATGGTTTGACCATAATTATATCTCTAAACAGTGTATATATTGTTTTGTTTTAGATGTTTGTGAACCTTATACATATGGAATCATACCCTATGTATTCTTTGGTGACTCACTTCTGACATCCCTGTGGTTGTGTGCATAGCGATTTATTTATTTTCACTGTTGTGTAATATTCCATCAATTATTTACAACAGAAATCATTTACCCGTTCTGGGGTGATGGGTATTAATGTGAGTTGTATTCAGGGCTTATCACCAGGCTGCTGGGACATTTGTACATGCCTCCTGGTACACGTGTGCAAAGGTTCTCTATTGTTAAGTCCCAGGAATGGCACTGCTGGTTTATAAAGTATGCTCCTTTTATAATGCCAAATTGTTTTCCAAAGCCACTCTAACAATTTATACTCCCACCAGCAACCTTATTTTGAACAAGAGTTACTAATGACTTCTAAGAAACAGAATTTCAATTCATTTTTAAAATATTCTTTTTCTGATTACAAAAGTAGTATGTATTCAGTTTAAAATGCAAATATTACAGAAATAGTATAGAGTAGCCTCAGATACTAACAGCAGCACAAATAAATAAGTACTGCTTAATGTATATTCCTCTAGAATTTTTTAATGCATACATGAACATGCATAACACAGTGTCATGTGTTTTTAAAATGAATATACTAATATTCTACTTGGAATATTTTGTATCTTGCTTTTATCTAAACAAACGTGCCACATACATTTTTCCATAACATTGCACATAAACTACTTCACTCCTTTCTGTCAAATATTATAAATTCAATTCATTTTTGTTGTAGAGTGTGTGAGTGTGTGTGTGTGTGTGTGTGTGTGTGTGTGTGTGTTTTAAGGCCTGCTACATTTTAGAGAAAAGAGAAAAATGGCTCGGGACAAATATCAGAAAAAGAACAGGGTGTCATAATTTTTTTTAAAGATTACAAACTACTTTTTGGTCACATTTATCTATTTTTTCTAAAGCTTATTTTTGACACTAAGAATCCAATAATCTGAATCAATGGGAGGCAGAGAAAAAATAAGGGGGATAAAGAACAGGTAGGTTTTGTTCTTTTTCTTTTTAAAACTAACTAACTCAGATTTGTTACAACCTTCTATCCCTCCTCAGTCAGAAAAACAAGTCAGCTGGCAGAGGCTGGAAGAGGAATCTGGAAAGCCCCAGGCCAGGTGGCAGGCTTCCTTGCTACTAAATGGGTGTGGGTAACGCAGCAAGGGACTTTCCACTCCTGCTTAATGGGATGCTAACTCTTGGGACAATCCAGGAAATGCTCCAGCCAGAAAACTCCTGGCAGATGAGACTTCCGGGATCAGGTCATTTTGGCCCACAGCAACTCTTCTGAATGACTGACTACAACTGAAGCAGCCCTTTTCCTTTCCCCCTCAAAGAAAACCCTCCCAGCTGGCTTTTATCCCCCCCAAAACTTACATCACAATTGGCTCGGCCCCCATTCCCACATCTTTGCTCTCTCAGGGTCTGTAAGAAAAGCAGAGCATCTCTGTCACGTGAGGCCGCCCCCTCCCCTCTCCCTTTGCCACAGCCCCACGGAGAAGGACCAGGTTTCTCCCGCGTACCAAGTGTTTGAATTCTGCAGAGAGGCTGCCGTTGTTGGATTCTTCCATGTTCATGACTTTTGTGTTTGTGCCCAGAATGTTAAATTTCCTGGATCTGAATCACAGGAGAAAAACCAACCACATAAGTCACAGAGTGGCCAGAGGACAAAGTTAGAGTGAACAGAACAAAAGGAAGCCCCTAGGCTGAACTCACCCTCGGAGAGCTGCTACATCCCCGGAGTCTCTGTTAAGAACACAAACCAGTGTTAATAAAACAGGTCCCGTGTTTCTTCAAAAAATCTACTTTAAACACCTGTAATTTACTCTGGTAGAAAAACTGCTGTGTTGCTGGGAATTTCTATCATTCAATTACATTTGTTATGTGAAATATACCAAACCTGTACATGCTTAAGTAGTAGACACAGCTGGTTGCCTACCCAACATCATCTGCTCCCTTCCTAACAGAACTTTGCTTCTCAGTACCCTTCCATCCCCACCTCCCGGGGATCCTGATCATTAAGTCCATCAGAACATAACATGCCCACAGTGCAGTGGTCCAGGGGGGTGAGGACATGACCTACATGGTTTCAACCAGACTGGGAAGGAATTACAACCCAGGCTGGATTTACACTCCATAGCTGTGAACATGAGAAAGGAAGCGCATGGCCTTTGCTACAGGCAACCATGTTGCAACCCAGAAGGGAACTTTGCAATGCAGGTGATGCTTATGATGACAGAGAAGGGACAAACAATTCTGGGTCCTTGATGCCATCAATGAGTCACTGACCTCACCATCAGGAACTTGCCCTAAATCTGCATTTCCAGTTATACTGGGTTGCAAACTTCCTTATTATTTAAGTCACACTGGATTTTCTGTAAAGGTTTACTGTTACCTGAAACTCAGAGCATCACATTTGGTATACTATTCCCAGTGTGCCCACTGTCCTTTAACTCTATGTTTTTTAATATATAATCTTTTTATATAGTCACATTTCCTGGTCTTTTCCTTTTTATTATTTTACTAGAGGCTCGATGCACAAAATTTGTGCAAGGGGCTCGGCCCTCGCAGCCGCAACAGCTTGCCTCAGCACTTGCAGCCCTGGCTTCGGACATTAGGCTATTGGTCTAATTAGCAAATTACGCACATGCCTGGGCCACAGGCTCCATCCCCACTGGAGGGTATGCAGGGGGCAGCCAATCCATGATTCTCTCTAATTGATGATGTTTCTATCTCTCTCCCTCCCTCTCTGAAATCGGTAAAAATATATTTTAAAAAAAGAATCAACATCTTTATAAGATTAGAAGTCTACAATCCAGAAATACGATTTGTCACACCACTTTTTACAATATCCCTTCCTCACTAAAATGTCAGTTTTCTTCAAATAGATCTTAAACATTTTGTTTAAGCTGATCACAATATATTTTACTTTTTTTGCTTATTATGAGATTATTTTTTCTATTATAATTTCTAACTGGTTAATGCTACTATATGGTTAAGGTTATTAATTTTTGCTTGCTTATTTATTTACTAAACCTACCACCTTCCTCAAGCCCCTTATTTCATTAGTAATTACTTTCTAGTTCATTCTGGATAAAATTTCCAGATAAATAATTATTATACCTAAAATTAAGAATACATTTTTTTCTCTTTTCTAAGCTCTTAAAAGGGTATGTGCATTTTAATTTTCGAAAGGTTCTGTCAAATTTTGAAAATTATTCCATCGTAATGAAGTATAGAACAATTTTTGAAAATCCATTTCCCCTATATATTCTCAGTTTTGTATAATATGAATAAATTGCATTTACAAGTAAAAATTTAAAGAAAAAGAGGGACTCAAGGTCACAATAGCAATCACAACTCAAATCTGTACCACTAGCTCTGTGGTTTTGTGCAGGCATGTAAATGACAATGCTCTGCAAGTTTTATGAAAACATTTGTACAAAAAAACAAAGATCTCTGAATGGAGATAAAGTCTCTTAAGTTCACATATCTGTCAAAGTGCTCATTTCTCTGTCATTTGAAAAAGATAAGAAAGAGCCAAGATAAGGAGTACTTACTTGTCAATGCACACTTTAATTTTAAGCTGATAATTTAACTCGGGGAATTTGACCAGCAATCTATTTCAAAAAAAGAAGAAAAAGTGTCTGAGCAAAAAACAACAATAATCCAGTTTTTTAAAAAAGTTTTAAGAAGTGAATAAATGACAATCCCAAATTCCTCTTCCTGCCAGAACCATCTTTGATCTTAAATTAAGCATCACCCCTTTAGGCCAAAGTTACTGGAAAAAAAAAAAGCCTAAGAATTAAGAACTTGGACAAAATTGTGAGAGATTCACCAAAGGATAATAAAAGCCATTTCATGAAAAATATTACAGGAATACACACTCTGCAGCTGGTTTTCTTTCTGTTAAACCTGAAACGCAACACAAAACCAAATATCTAAGGGGGGAAATTTCACTGCGGAAGGGCAAACCCCAACATACCTGTCTGACTTGAGTGTGAAAGTAACACTTCCCTGCAGGCCCACCACCCACCTGCCCTGTGGTCCCCCTTAGCTTCTATACCACTAAGCCTTACTCTTTCCCTTAAAATCCTCAGGGAAAAGAAGGCTCAAAGAACAGAAAGAACTGGTATTACTTTGCTCCTGTTGTCTCAGACTGTAGGACTAGAATCATAAAAATATGCCCCAGTAACCTAAAAAAGATGACCATTCCTTAGCTTTTGACAGAAGGAACAAAGAGCAAGTCAATGTTACGCCAACAAATTTCACACCCCCCACAGTACTGTCTGTGCTGCCTGTGAAGAACAACCCTGAACACCGACTCTGCTCTCATCTAAGAATGTCTCTCAATAAAACAGCTACCCCGGATGGAAGTGTTGTGGCCCACCTGACTTTAGTAGTAAACTGGACACCGGTCTTGATGACTAATGGCCGGTCGGGATGCATGGGCATGCAGGGCTGCCGCTCAACCACAAAGGCACTGAAAGAGCAAGAGAAGGACAGCAGTTCACACACTGCACAGTGGGCCAGCCTTCATCCTGTGCCCGTGAAGTGAGCCAATCTCTTGTTTAAGGATGTAATTGGGAAGGGGGGTGCTGAGGGAAAGGGACAAGGATTCTAAGTTACCTTTTCATTAAGTTTCTAAAGAGTTCCACAATTCTCTCCTCCAGCATTGGCCGGTGCTGTACAATGGGGTCCCCTTTGTAGGAAACTTTTTGCTGCAACTCCTCCAGTTTCTTAATTTGTTGGCGGGTCTGAAGTTGAGATTCTGCTAATGAGGTTATCCTGCCAATAAAATAAGAAAGTTACCAGTGACCTAAGGGGGGGTACATGGGTAAATGAGAGGGGGAAGGGTATACTATAGAGATAAACACTACTATGCAGTCCCCTACAATTAGAAAGGGGGACTTATTTTATTGTGGTAAAATATACATAACAAGAAATGTACCATTTGTATTTGTACAATTCAGCGGCATTAAATGTGAAAAGGGGGAATTTATTTTTCATTAAATAAGGAAAGGGGAAATTTATTTTGCCTCTTTAAAATAGTCCCTTCCTAAAGTTTTGCATTTCAAAGAGAGAGCTAGTCGCAGAGGAAGAAGTGTCAAAACTTATGCTACTAGGAGGTATTTAACAGAGTTATCACTGGATAGTGACAAGCAATAGAACCCACATATGGAGAATGTGAAATATGAAATTTGGCACTCACTTTTTTATCCTAACTTATCCTTATACCAAAATGTGAAGACTGGGGAAACGTAAGAGGTAAGACCTCCCAAGAAGATGGATTTAAGTTAGCTCTGCCTTCCACTATCTGTGTAACCTTGGCCAACTCCCCATTGTGGGGCTTAATGTCTCCCTGCATGAGGGAAGGGGTTGAACTGCAGGATCCCCATGAGCCCTCTCAACATCACCTTTCAGTGGATCAAAGGATATGATTTTATGTTTCAAAATATTGATAACATACACATAGAAAAAGTGGACAGGGAGACAAAGTTTGATTAAGTCTGTCCCCAAGAATAAAAAATATTATTGTCTCTCCTTGATGGTCTACCACTAGTTTAATAAAGACTAAAAGACCTCAAAGAGAGAAGGTGAAAGATGCAGGGGAGAGAGGGCAGAGGTAGGACTTTTGAGCTCCCTGACTCCCTTCTGGCACTTATGTTCTCCCATCCCCAGAAGTTAAGCTTTTTGGTTCCCTGATCAGAAAGCATTTAAAACTGCTTTCAGTAAATTAACAAAACTCGGGTTAGTGAGGATATGAACAAACAGGTATTCTCATGTAGAGTTGCCCTGAATTTTCAATTTCATGCTCTGTGTATCTGGGCTCCCCATCATGTCACGTTTCTCCTAGTTTATTGAAGCTGGTGCAACCCATTCATTATTGGGCCTCGCATTTCAAGGGTGTTCATAAAGATGTGCTAGATAACTGTGTAAAAGAGCAGATTATAGAGGAGCATAAAGAACAACCCACTAATGTGAAAATGCTTGGATTTCTATCTTTTTGTGTATATATACAACAATAACAGCTGTCTAGACTGGTAGTCACCAAAATCTTAGCTGTAGGTAGCTCTGAATAATTCAGTTTTAAAAAACTTTTCTTCCCTTTATTAATTTTCTGGATTTGAACTTTTTCCCCTTATAAAAGAGCTTGTACAATTTTAGGTTATTTAACTGACTAAAACTTAAAATTTAGTCTTGGCCTTGGCCGGTATGGCTCAGTTGGTTGGAGCGTCATCCCATACATCAAAGGTGGAGGGTTCAATTCCCAGTCAGGGTATATAGCCGCATTGTGGATTTGATCCCTAGTCATGGTGTGTGGGGGAGGCAATGGATCAATGTTTCTTTCCCTCTCTCTTTCTCTCTCTCCCCCTCTTCCTCTCTCAAAAATAATTAAAAAAACAAAAACTTGTTTAAAATGTTAAATACAATGAAACCTAAAACTTTATTTAAATTATAAAATAGAACAGATTTAAAATATAGTAATATAAATACATTTTTATTTTTAAAATTGTCCAAATAAAGTGAAAGCTTTAACTCTTAGAGCTAAATTTGCCTACGTAAAAGTCCCCACCTTTGAGATGTAATACCAACACTTTGGGCCTGTAGCTATGACCATAATTTAGCACAGCTTTCCAGAAGGAAAGGAAAAACTTCTCTTTCATCTTTTATTAGTTTTCTAGATGAAAAATCCCCACCTTTGAGATACAGTACCAATTCTTTGGGCCTGCAGTTATGATCATAATTTAGCACAGCTTTCTAGAAGGAAAGGAAAAACTTCTCTTTCATCTTTTACCAGTTTTCTAGACGATCTAAGCAGATGTTGGGAGGGCCTCCAATGCAAGCAATCTGTTGCCGCCTCTTCCAGTCAGCCAGCTCCTCATCCGTGAGAGTTTTCTGCACATACTCCATAGCTGACAAAAGCCCCGCCAGCTCACTCACGATACTCTGGTTGGTAACCAAAACAAAAGTCAGAAAACATTTCCTCAGACCATCTCTAACTACATGCTGCGGTCAATTCCAGAGAAGGAACTTAGAAATCAGACAGGTTCTGCCACGAGATCCCGAGATCCCACGGGGTGTGAGACACGCAGAGGGAGTTGTCCCACGCTCTTACTCGCCGCATCTGGTCCAGAGCAGTTAGCATCTGTTCTAGCTGCTGCATCTTCTGCCTGGTCACTGACTGGTTGTTTCCATTCAGATCTTGCATGTCTGTAGAGGAAAGAAAAACTCCTTGACCTGGGGGAACACTCCTTTCCTTAGTGACTAGGCTCCCTTAAGGACACCCACCCCCGAAGTCTGAACACAGAGTCAAGACAAATAAGTCCTGAAACTCAAGGAACACAAACTCACTTTCTACAGATTTATAACGTCTCTAATATTCACTTGCCTCCTTGACTCTTGAGGGTTTTATAGTTGAAATCAAAGTCATCCTGGAGATTCTCTACCACTTTCATTTTCTGTTCTAGATCCTGTTAAAACAAGCAAACAAATAAACAGCAGTAGGAAATATTTCCTTGGGGAGAGGGAAAAGAAAGTCTCTGAGAAGAATAAAATCGAAGCCAGTATCTCAATGAGATACAGGCAGAACCCATAGGCAATATCCCTAAGAAAAGGGGTATTTTCCCCAGACCTGCTTTACCTGTACTCGTTTCCGAACGTCCTGTAGGTGCTGCTCCAGCATCTGCTGCTTCTCCGTCACCACGGCAGCTGTGGGGTGGTTGGCCTGGCCCCCTTGCTGCCAAAGAAGGGAGTCGACACACATGTGAACGCAGGAAATATGGGGAGAGAAATACCTCTGTCCAGTCTTCATCCCACCCCACTACCCTTCCTGCTTGGCCTGAGATGCTACTGCCATTGTGACAGAAAGGGAAACAGGCAGAATGCCGGGTGTTGTAACGGGCAGTTCTGCAGTGGCCAGAACTCTCCAGGTGGTGTCCAGGAAGCTCTCGCATAGTTTTACCATTGTCGTTGGCTTTTTAACTCTAGGTCACACTGTAAACCTACTCTGTGTATTGCACTAGGAGACCACATGTGAGCTAAGACATGGCCCCTACCTTCTAAAGCTCATTCTAGGTAAGCATGTAAAAAACGTCAGAACAGTTTATGACAGCAGGTTTCGAATGCCTATTTAAATGTAGGTAGCATACAATAACATTTCTGTGGGATAATAAATAACCATTATTTCCGGGGGGTGAAATGCCATATCAAGAGATAGTATCTTGGGGTATAAGGGGAAATTGGTACCTTAAAAATGTCAAATAGGCCCTGACCAGTTTGGCTCAGTGGCTAGAGCGTCGGCCTGTGGACTGAAGAGTCCCAGGTTCGATTCCGGTCAAGGGCATGTACCTTGGTTGCGGGCACATCCCCAGTAGGGGGTGTGCAGGAGGCAGCTGATGGATGTTTCTCTCTCATGGATGTTTCTAACTCTCTATCCCTCTCCCTTCCTCTCTGTAAAAAATCAATAAAATGTATTTTTTAAAAAATGTCAAATAGTACATGAAACTTAAAAATTATAAGTTTTGTCAAAATAACAGGATATCTTCTGATTAAAAAAAAAAAAAGACATGTAAAAGCTGTGGTGATCAAGACAGTATGTTATAGGACATACTAACAATACAGCTGATATTTTCATCTGTATTCGACTCCCAGGTCTATTTTTCAATTGGTACTGCACTTAAAGGGGGAAAATAGATGTGATTAATTATCACCCACAGAAGCCTGCCTCTAATACTTCTATAAACTATGGTCTCCCACTGCTTCCAGGTATAAACATCTCAGCCCAGCACAGACAGATGTTTCACACAACCTCCTAACAACCTAAACCTCCCGTCCTGTGCTCAGGCCCCCCAAACCACCCACTCTTCCCCGATACAGCATGTTTCACACTCTCCTTCCCCACACACTGTCCACTCTGCCAGGCCTGCACTTCTGCCCAAGCACACCTGAACTCATTCACCCGCAAACCCAGTGTAACTTTTTGCTCTCCTGGGTAACATGATTCAACTACCCTAGACAAAATGACTCACATCCTCCTGTATGTTTTTCTCACATTGAGTGTTTGTATACCTATAATCCCAACTAGACCAAACGTTCTGGTAGCAGGGATCACGTCTACTCATCCTTCTATCTCCCTCTGCGATACCCATAAAAGACACTTAAAAATAAGCCAGATGATGTAAACAGAGAAAGTAACAATGAGGCCTGGGTTGAGGCCTCAGATATCCAACTGGTAGCTCTATGTCAAGGGCTGCAAATTCTCTAAGGGGCAGGTGGTAAATATTTTTGGCATTGTGGGTCATATAGTCCCTGCCACAAGCACTCGGTCCTGCCATTGCAGCACAAAAACAGCCACAGACAATGCACACAGTAATGTGTGTTGCTGTGCTCTAAAAAGAACTTTATTTATAAAGACAGCCTAGAAATTTATCATAGGGAAATCAAAGCATGAATATATAAAGATACATAGATACTACAGTAGTATTAATAATGGGCGGGGGGGGGGGGATGAAGTGAATGTCTATTGAAGGGGAAATAAGTGAATAAATTACAGCAGCAACTCTATACCACAGACTAAAATTTTAAAAAATGAGTTAGCTTTCTATTACTTGACTTATTAGAATTTACATGATATAATATTAAATGAAGAAAGCAAGATGAAGGGAAGTAAAACCATTTAAATATACTGTGAGAGGGAGGAGGGGGGAAGAGGAGGGGGGAGGGAATGCATTTTATATAGTTTATATGAGCCTGGAGAAAGGTGTGAAGAGATATATACCAGACTATTAATGTTGGTTTCTTGGGAAGGAACAATAGAGGGAGTGACAGTTCAGATTTTTACAAAAACTTTCTTCCTTGTACTTTTCTGTAATGTTTTAATTTTTTTTTTTTTTTAATGGGTAAGAATGCATTATAGCCTAAACCGGTTTGGCTCAGTGGATAGAGCGTCGGCCTGCGGACTGAAGGGTCCCAGGTTCGATTCCGGTCAAGGGCATGTACCTGGGTTGCGGGCACATCCCCAGTGGGAGATGTGCAGGAGGCAGCTGATCGATGTTTCTCTCTCATCGATGTTTCTAACTCTCTATCTCTCTCCCTTCCTCTCTATAAAAAATCCATAAAATATATTTTAAAAAAAGAAAAGAATGCATTATATACTCAGGAAAAAAAATAAAGTTTTTTTCATTGTATAAAATTTAAAAGCCCAAAACACCAACACCCACTTCTACCCTGGAGGATAGTGTACACCCTAGAGACCACATAAGAGCAAGCACATCTTTGTACACAAGAACGGAAGCACATCTTCGATAGCACTGTTTCTTCCCAAGTCTCACCTGGGCTGCAGTGGCTGCAGTTTGGAGGAGGCGGGACTCTTCCCACAGGCACCGGGCCACAATTCGGGCAATCTCCATAGGCTTCTCAAGATACCTGCTCTATAAGTAGGAGAGAAGGAGAATGAAAAGCAGCAGTACACTGAGGAGATGTGGACCGAACTTTGCTGACTTAAAGCTAAACTCCTCATAAATTGAGCGTTACATTTACTGCATGAAACAATAGAACAAAGGCCTCAAAGCCTGGCTGCAATCAGTGAGAGATGAAGGGGAGAAGCGAAGAAAGGCAGTCATGATGAGCTGTACTACTGTGAGAGGAGGCACATCTGATTGTTTGGACAGTCTGTTATCCTGGTCTTACAGGGAGGTGATGCACTTTGTCCAGGAGCATCCAATTATGGCCAAACCTTTAACATTTGAAAGTAAGAGTTGTCCAGCTAGTCAGAGTGGCTCAGTTGGTTGAGTATCATTCTGTGCGATGAAGGGTTTTGTCAGTGTGATTCTCAGTCAGGGAACATACCTAGGTTGCATGTTCAATCCCCAGTCGGGGCAGGGGGGCAGGTATGGAAGACAAACATGGATGTTTCTCTTTCTCTCTCTCTCTCCCCCACTTTCTATCTCTAAGCATGTCCTGGGGTAAGGAATGAATGAATGAGTCATCTTCCTATGAGGGAACCTGGTTACAATCGTTATTAACATGTTAATATAATATTAACATAACAATCAGGTTATTACTTCAACTAACTAAAGAAGTAAATTTCAGGTAATGATGCTCATGGGTTAGCATACAGAGATTTGAGAAAGGGCTAATTACTTCTCCTTATATTTAAAGTACAAGATAGGTTCTCATTATTTAGCCAATTGAGAAAAGATACTGGCAGGAAGAAATCTAAAACCCTTTGTCTGGTTCAGTTTCTCATCACACCTGAAGGAACTGCTTGATTCTTCGCAGATTGTGCTGATAGAGAACATTTGATTCTTGTAGGAAGCGGCTGTACTGCTGGTCAATCTCACCCAAGAGATTATGAAACACCAAAGTGGCATGTGATTCTTTGCTGGCTGCATAAGCCCTAGGAAAAGAAAAAGTAATAAGGAATGATTCTGAAACCCTACACACAAACACACAAGTCACCATCAAGGAGGAAAAAACCAAGGCAAAGGAGGAAAAAAACAAGGCAAAACCAATACTTTAACCCACTCATTTTAGATTTATCTTGCTCAGCAACAATAAATATCAGCAATTTAATAATTATAAGTAATTATTCTAGATACTATTAGCCATTGTCATAGTCTATACTTATAAAATATCTGAATGAAGTGGACTGATATGCTTTTTGCTTTAACTTCTCAGTCAACTCTGTGGTCAGATTATTAGTAACAACTAAGCAATACCAGGGTAAGGTAGGGCCTATCTCCAACAGCTCTGAATCACCTCCCTGGCACTTCACCAAATTCTGGAAAAGTTAGGTCATAGGCCTGAATTAAACCAAAATTAATAGGTGGATCTGAACACCTTAAAGTGAAATAGTTGTTGGAATTCTGTGCCATTATCTCCTCTATGAACAAGTCTATTTCTCTTACTCTGTGTCTCTCTCCTCTAATTAAAGGGGCATGAGAAGCAAGGACCCAAACGTCTACCCATGATAGAATTCTCATTCAGACAAAAAATAGTTGCAGCATGTCTCTGAAGCATAAGAACATATAGAGGATCTCACCGAGTCAGTGAGATCCAAATCAGTCCTAAAAACTTTTACCAGCAAGCAGGCTGATGTGCCAAAAGTCGGTTGTTAGTGTATGTTTTTAATATAGAAAATGTTTATACAAGACTAAGAGTACCTCTTTACCTCCTTATCTCTTTTACCTCATCACCTGTACCCATACATTTTTCAATGAAATAGAACAGAGTTACGATCATGCTTCTTGATGCAAATCAAAACCTAACAATTTGGGAGTTTCTCAAGAAGGACTTACCAATCTTTTTTTTTTTTTAATATATTTTTATTGATTCCAGAGGAGAAGAGAGAGAGAAACACCAATGATGGGAGAGAATCATTGATTGGCTGCCTCCTGCACACCCCCTACTGGAGATTGAGCCCAAAACCTGGACATATGCCCTGACCGGGAATTGAACCAGGGTCCTCCTGGTTCACTCAACCTCTGAGCCACACTGGCTGGGCAGGACTTACCAATCTTGACTCTCAATCCAAGGGGCCAGGAACTGCCGCAGCTCCATTGGGAAGCTGTCACTGTACAGCTGATGAAGCTGCTCCAGGTACCGTGTGTCGAGCTGCTGTAGCTGATTCCATTGGGCCATCCTGCTGGAATCAGGGGTCCCAACTGTAAACCAAAGTGTTCATATGGTTACTACAAGCCCTGGTAGGGTAAACAATCTAGAAATACCCTATGTACCCAACACAGGCATCAGGTCTGTGATTAAGGATAAAAGATGCTTTGGAAAGGATCCTGGCATGTCTCTCCCAGTTTAGACCAACACATTCACATTCACAATCTCTACTTAAGGAAGCACATCACAGCTTCTAAACTAGAGGACGACGTGGGCATGATGCCAAGTTCAATAATCTACCTGAGGAATATGAAGTGAAAAACTACTTCCAGAATTCCATTTCCTCATCTATAAAATAGAGATCATAATTCCCACCCCTCAGGGCTGTTGAAATAATATTTCTAAGCACCCAGCTCAGTGCCTAGCTTACAACAGATGCTCAACAGGGATCAGTTCCCTTCTTTCCACCCTATACCCTTTAAGTGAACTGGGAAGTATATACAGTAAACCTGAACTAAGACCAAAATGTGGGGTGTGGATGTTCAGGGAGGACAGAGAGCTAATTCCAAGACTACAGCTTTAAGAGTATAAGCAAGGATCTAACTGGGATTTCTCCCACTCAACAAAAAGTAATTTTGTCTTATAAATTTCTCAGTCTGAAATGAGAGAGAAGAGAAACTAAATACCGGGCATATACGTTGTCCTCAGGTTAATGAATACCCCAGGGAAAAGTTTAGGTATGACAAACCAATCTGGCTGACCACCTTTAGTCCTCTTTCTGAATAGCAACACCGACTAAGTAGTCTTGAGAAATAGTGAAAGTAACAGCAAGTAATAGCCAAAGACTAAGAAATGTACAGATCAAATGTACAGATATTGAGATGGCTCTCTGGGATAGTGAGAACATTTAAGAAAAGGCTGAATACATACAAAAACATACACTTAACTGGACTTCTTGATTTATTTATTTCTCAGAGCAGGCTACATGTTACATGCTAAAGCACTGTAACCATGGTGTGTATTACCTTCAACAAGAAATCAAAGGGCACTAGAACTCTCTTACAATATTCCCATTAGAGCCAAGTTAAAATATGCCTCCTAGGCTAAAAGCATCCGGATCGGCCTTATGTTTCCAAGGACCTGATTTGCATATAGATCTGTCTAACATGCCAATTTATGTATATTCTACTGCAATGCAAATGTAATGAAATATGGTAGCCACTTCCCATGTGTGGCTATTGGACACTTGAAATGTGGCTGGTTCAAACCAAGATGTGCTTTAAGTGTAAAATACACTTTAAAAAAAGTAAAATATCTCATTGGTATTGAATTGATAATATTTTGGATATATTGGGGAAACTAAAACATATTATTAAAATGAATCTCGCCGAAACTGGTTTGGCTCAGTGGATTGAGCGTTGGCCTGCGGACTGAAAGGTCCCAGGTTCGATTCCGGTCAAGGGCATGTACCTGGGTTGCGGGCACATCCCCAGTTGGAGGTGTGCAGGAGGCAGCTGATCGATGTTTCTCTCTCATCGATGTTTCTAACTTTCTATCTCTCTCCCTTCCTCTCTGTAAAAAATCAATAAAATATATTTTTAAAAAATAAATAAATAAAAATAAAATGAATCTCACCCATTTCTTTTGACTTCTCTTAATACAGCTATTAACAACTTTAGAATTACATATGTGACTTGCATTCCACTTTTGTTGGACACTGCTGCTCTTATGTAACCAAAAAACTGTGGTTCTTCTAACAAAGGATTTAAAGAAATAGACACCTACTTTTCAAAATATACTCCAGTGTTATTATAAATTTGCTTATCTTCGATACAAACATAAAGCCATCTCAGTCTGCTCCCTGAAGTTCTAAGGTAGAACCACAAAGCAGCATCCCATAATATCCGATCAGTTATAGATTAACATTGGAATCATGCATGAATATTTGCATTTTCAAACTAATATACTGGTACCATTAACAAATTACAAGTTGTTGAAAATAGTCCAATTCATTTCTAGTCCATAACTCAGAGGATTTTTGCTGTTGTTTTAATTTGAGTTGGGGTTTTAGTAAATAGAATGGTAATTGTGCTATTTCTTAAATCAGAAACTAGCTAATAGTTTTTTCCATAAATTTAAAGCACCAAAAGTGACTCATGTTATGTTTTACTTTTTAGTCTAATTACTGTAAATAATAATGTAATAGCTATCATATATATGCTAATATCATATATATAAAATAGCTATCATACATCCTATATAATAAAGGGCTAATATGCAAATCAACCGAACGATGGAATGACGGGTCGCTATGACATGCACTGACCACCAGGGGGTAGATGCTCAATGCAGGAGTTGCCCCCTGGTGATCACTGCACTTCCACAGGGGGAGCTCCGTTCAGCCAGAAGCCCTGAGCTAGGCTCACGGCTGGCGAGCGCAGCAGATGGCAGGAGCCTCTCCCGCCTCTGCAGCAGCGCTAAGGATGTCTGACTGCTGGCTTAGGCCAGCTCTACGGGGAGTGGGCCTAAGATCAGTCAGACATCCCCCGAGGGCTCCCAGACTGCCAGATGGCGCAGGCCAGGTTGAGGGGGGACCCCCCCCACACACACACAAGTGCACAAATTTCGTGCACCGGGCCTCTAGTATAGTTATATAAAAAAATATAGTTTTAATAGTTGTAAATTAAAGCCAAAAAGCAGGTAGCATTTTCAATGAGGACATGGGCAAAGAGTCAGATAGTGATCTCCTTAATGGCTGCTTAGCTACAAACCATATTTAACCAACAGGGGCCACAGAGCAATCAGACCAAATGCTCTTCATAACAAGAGCATATCCCTAAGAGAGCACTAGCCAAATTGCCTAGGAAAACCATTGCCAACTAGCTTTGTGGTAATTGTTTTACTGGGAAAAAATTTAAAAGATCTAACTTTATTTCACAATCTTAATTCTGATTTTTCAAATTACAATCTAAAGAACCTCACTTAATTATTATTTCTTAATTTATTGATTTTTTTTTTTTTAGAGAGAGAAGGTGGGAGGAAGGAAGAGACAGACAGACAGACAGACAGACAGAGATTAACATCATTTTGTTATTCCACTTATTTATAAATTCATTGGTTGATTCCTGTATGTGCCCTGACCTGGTATCAAACCCTCATCCTTGGCTTATTGGGATGATGCTGTAACCAACTGAGCGACCCAGCCAGGGCCCCTACTCTAACTAAAGTATTTCTTACCTATGGAATAATCCTAAGCCTGAGATTCAATAACCACTTTCACTGAACCCCAGAACACAGAAAGTGATTTGCACAACAATTTAAGTGCCAAGTACCATTCTGGATGCACAGGAGAGAAAACAATACATTCCATACAGTGGCTGTCTTAGGGTATGACATAGGGCTTAATTCTCTCAAGGTGTTTGCTAAATTTAGGTTAGAAGATAGTAAATGTTAGCATATGAAGGAAAAGTGTGATACTGTTTCCTACAACTGAAGAGGAAAGAAAAAGAAAATGAAACAGTAAATCACCAGACTTTCTGGACTTTTCAAAACAGGAATTTCTCAACCCCTTGGGGATAAATTTACCAACAACAAGTCATAAGACAAACAACTATTGTCTAATGGGGAACTTATTACTGTAAAGATCACTAAAAAAGTTTGTCCAAAATCACAGTTCTCATTTATATACTTCAATCTAAACCAAGGGCGAGTTGAGAACACAAGTCAGGACCACTTACCAAAGGGTTTCATTACATCATTTCATAAAACTTCTTTTAAAATAAGACTTGTATTTCACATTCACGCACCAGTGGGTTTACAACAGGGCCCAGGCAGGAGGGTAGAAAGTGAGGAGAGGGAGGAAAACCATTCAGAACAGAATGTGATCTAAAGATAATTTCTGTTTCACCTTGCAATGTATCATGCGATTTTTTGGGGGGTGTTGGTTGTAGAAATACCTAGATCTTAAATAGCGCATACTTGTATTTTATCTGTTGCCTACACTAAGCTCCTCTTTGCTGTCAGGAAAGGCTCAGTGGCTAAGGCAATCAAAGTATAAAGTAATATAGAAATATACTTGCATTAATTTCTAGAGAAGACAGTCCTTTTAAGAATATATTTTTAGCCCAGCCAGTGTGGCTCAGTGGTTGAGCATCGACCTATGAACCAGGAGGTCACAGTTTGATTCCCAGTCAGGGCACGTGCCCGGGTTGTGGGGCTTGCTCGATCCCAAGTAGGGGACATGCAGGAGGGAGCCGATCGATCAATGATTCTCTCTCATCACTGATGTTTCTCTCTCTCTCTCTCCCTCTCTCTTTCTCTCTGAAATCAATAGAAATATATATATTTAAAAATATGTGTATTTTTAGCCCTGGCCAAGTAGCTCAATTGGTTACAGCATCATCCCAATACACCAAGGTTGCAGGTTGGATCCCCAGTCAGGACACATACAAGAATCAACCAATAAATGCATAAACAAGTAGAACAACAAATCAATGTTTATCTCTCTCAAATCAATGAATAAAATTTTTTTTAAAAGAAGAGGAGAAAAAGTAAAAGGCTATTAATGCTAGACAAAGACACTCAATCTTTATAAAACTTTCACTGTAGAATGAAAGGTATAATGAATGATAGGAGTCCATATTTAAATATTAAAGCTTTAACTATGTAATCATTGTTAACTTAACCATTCATAATTACCCTAGATGGTAAGACTTTGAAATTTCAAATTTAAAAAATAGATAATTCAAAGTAAGTATCCTTGTATAATAAACATATAATTTCATTGCTTACAAATCCCAATAGCACCTTAAGTCTATATATAAATCTAATTTTGATTTCCCAGAAAGACAAAATGTTAGCACTTGAGTGCCCAATCTGAACTATACTTATTGTAACACTCAATTACAAATAATAGGATTTGCTTTAAAGTCAGAAACCAACTCTTCCTTGTAAAAATGGACACTGAGATGTAAGAAAAATTGAATTAGAGTTCCCCACTAATGTGGCAAAATTGAATATATGAAAGAAGTACTAAATTCCTGGGGAGTAGAGC